TACCTAAGAAATAGAAATTGATGGACTTGAAAATAAGAATATTATAAAACAAATATTTAATATGCTGAAGAAAAGAGAACTAAAACAAAGATGAGAATTCTTACAGAATTGCTTACCAAAAAATTGCTAGTGGGGAGAAAATCTCTAACCATATATTATATAATATAATCTAATCACTAATTCATGTTGGAGGTAATAAAACACTAGCCTTGGGGACAAGAAGACCTGGGTTCCAGTTGATAAACTGTCAAAGGATATGAAGAAGCAGTTTTCAGATGAAGAAATTAAAGCTATCTGTAGTCATATAAAAATGTTGTAAATAACTATTGATTAGAGCAATGCAAATAAAAACAACTCTGAGGTATCACATCACACTTATCAGATTGGCTAATATAACAGAAAATGAAAATGATAAATGTTGGAGATGTGGGAAAATTGGAACACTAATGCATTGTTGGTGGAGTTGTGAATTGATCCAACCATTCTGGAGAGCAATTTGGAAGTATACAGAAAGGGCCATAAAACTGTGCACGTCCTTTGATCCAGCAATACCACTACAAGGTCTATATCCTAAGGAAATCATAAAAAAAAAAAAGGAAAAGGACACACATGTATGAAAGTATTTATAGCAGCTCATTTTGTGGTGGCAAAGAACTGGAAATTTAGGAGATGTCCATCAATTGGGGTGTGGCCGAACAAGTTGTGGGGTATGATTGTAATGGAATACTATTGTGCTATAAGAAATGATGAGCAGGTGGATTTCAGAAAAACCTGGAAAGGCTTACATGCACTGATACAAAGTAAAATGAGCAGAACCAAGAGAACACTGTACACAGTAACAGCAACATTGTTCAATGATCAACTATGATAGACTTAGATCTTCTCAGTAATACAATGATCCATGTTAATTCCAAAAGACTTATGATGGAAAATGCTATCCACGTCCAGAGAAAGAACTGATGTAGTCTGAATGCAAATCAGAGCATGCTATTTTCACTTTTTTTTTGCGGGGGGGAGGTTGTATTTTTTCCCTTCTGTTCTATTTCTTCTTTCACAACATGAGTAATGTGGAAATATGATTAATATAATTGTACATGTATCACCTATATCCTATTATTTGCTGTCTTGGAGAAAGAGGAGGAAAGGGAAGGAGGGAAAAAAATTTGGAACTCAAAATCTTATAAAAGTAAATGTTGAAAACTATCTTTACATGTAATTGTGAAAAAATAAAATGCTATTAAGTAGGGGAAAAAAGAACACCTGGGTTCAACTCCTGATTCAGATACCTACTAGTTGTGTGACCCCAGGCAAGTCATTTAACATCTGTTTGTCTCAGTTTCATCATCTATAAAATTAGTGAGGTGGACTCAATGACCTCTTCAGTCTCTTCTAGCTCTATATCTATGACTATATGATCCTATGAATATATGAGAAGACACAAACAAGTAAAGCCTCTGATTGAGTCATAACAAAAGATTTTTGGAACCATGCAAAATTTTGGAGATAAGAAAATGGCAGGAATAAGAGAGTGATCAGGCAACAGTCCTTTCCTTCCTTCCCTCCTTCCTTCCTTCCTTCCTTCCTTCCTTCCTTCCTTCCTTCCTTCCTTCCTTCCTTCCTTCCTTCCTTCCTTTCTTCCTTCCTTCCTTCCTTCCTTCCTTCTTTCCTTCCTTTTTTCCTCCCTCCCTTCCTTCTTTCTTCTTTTCCTCCCTCCTCCTCTCCTTCTTCCTTCCCTCCTTTCTTTGCTTCTTCTCATTGCCCTGATTAAAAATCCTCATTGGCTCCTTACTGTTTCCAAGATGAAGAGAGAGAGAGATTCTATAGCCTGATGTGTAAGGCCCTGCAAAAATATAACTCCAATTTGCTTTTCAGACTTATTTCATATTACTCAACCTTCACAATTCAGTTTTCGTGATAAAGTGGAATAGTAGCTGTTCCCCAGGTTCGGTATTTCATAGCCCACCTCTCTATGTGGCCCACACTGGAATGCATTCTTTCCTCATTTATCTCTCTGAATCCTTATCTTCATTCAAGGGTTAGTCTCCTATAGGAAAAACCTTCCCCAATTGCTTTCATTGGTAGTACTTCAAATCATCATATTTAATTTGTATTTATTTATCTATGTATATATTGTATCCTTACTTCCACAAAATATAGATTCCTTGAGATCAGATACTCTTTTGTTTTTAATCTTGGTGTACCCAATGCTTAGCCCAGTGAATAGCACATAATACAGTTTATTGAATTGAATTGAAGTTAAGTGGTACTTTAAAGGATTGGAAAGAATCAATAAGCAGAAAAGGGAGTGAGAGCATTCCAAGAGTAGGAAACTGGGTGACAGTGTAGTGTGAGTTCAAGATCCAGAGGGTAAATCAGTTTGGCCAGAGGTTAGCATACACTGATAGAATACTATGAAATAAGGTTAGAAAGATAGGCTGGTTTCAGAGCTGCCTGGCACATAATAGGTGCTCAATAAATATTTGTTGATTGATTTGATGGTCTTGATGGTCAGTCAAGGAACTTGATCTTTACTTGTATAAAAGGCCTGTTAAAGACCTTTGCCCTAGCAAGTATCTCCTTAATTCTTAATTAAATTTCGATGTAAATTGCATTGGCACATTTGGCACACTAGGTGCCAAAATCCTGGTGGAGCTGAAAGGAGTTCACTTGCTCTGACCCAGCTAGAAGGGAGGGGTGGGGGCTTTCCAGCGAAGAACAAAAGTATCCAAATAGAAGAGATCATATAGCAGTCACTTCACAGTTGGCTGGGTGTGGGAGGCCTGCCTTACAGAACTAAAAAGGTATTTTATCTCTGGGCAGTTTCACAGAAGAGTGATAATACTCCAACAACATCAGATCAGCTGGTCAGTCACTCAGAAGTGATTGACTGTAGGTACAGATTAACATTTTCTATTATAGCCAATATATAATAAACATTTATTAGCAGCCTACTATGTGACAGGCACTGTACTAAGCACTAAGGATTACAAACTAAAGTAAAAGATGTGATCTGCTCTTGAGTCTAATGGGGATCAGCATGCAAGCAACTATGTTCAAACAAGCTATATACAGACAGGATCTATTGAAAATAATCAAAATAGAAGGAATGCCTAGAATAAAGAGGGAATAGGAAAAACTTCCTGTAGAAGGTGTGATTTTATCTGGCACTTGGAGGAAGCCAGAAAGTAGAGATGAGGCGGGAGGGAATTCCAGGCAGGAGAAGGAGTGTCTTGTTTGAGCAACAACAAGGTGGTCAGTCAAGTCACCAAACCAAAGAGTTGGGAGTGGGAGTTGGGGAAGGGAACAATATAAAGTAGAAGGTGTAAGAAGAATGGAAAGGTGTGAGGTGGAGGGCAGATTGTAAAGGGCTTTGAATGCCAAACAAGAATGGCTACCCAGTCTAGCTCAGGCAACTCCAGAGAAATCCAGAAACTAGGCTGGGTCTCAAGCTCCCCTTATCAGTGAATACCCCTCCAATGCAAGAAATTACACCTACTACCTTTCAGCTCTAAGTGACCTAAGAGTTTCTGGCTAGATGGATCAAAAAGAAGGGCAGAATAGGGAGATCAAATCATTAGATTATTAATATGAGTCTTATTCTTGCCCCTACTCCCACCCCTTTTTCTTCTTGGTAAAAAAGTGGCCAGGGGCTAGAGAGTGTGAGAGAATATGATGAAGGGGAAAATACAACTAAAAATCATAAACTCTCATCAATGAAATGACTAATCATGACTCCAGAAGATAAATGATGAAGCATTTTGTCTACATTTTGGCAGAGGAGTGATTGACTACAGAATAAGATGTGCATTTTCTATTATAGCCAATATATAAATTTGTTTTGTATACACATACACACATTTGTGTATACACACATGCATATACATACATACATACTATATATGTATATGTATATATACATTATATAAATTATTTACAAGGGAAGGCCTTTATTTGGCAAAAGAAGAATTTTGGGAGACAGAAATTGGTGTGCAGTGATAGTCATGTGAAAAGGAAAAAAGAGCCTCAGTGAAACAAAAAAGAGACACAGAAGTGAGCAGAAGTTCAGAAAGGCATAAGTCAAGCAGGGCAGTTTTGTTGTATCCTGCTAAATTTAATATGAACATTAAATTTATATGTAACATGTATAACCTATATCAAATTGCTTGTCTTCTCAGTGAGAGAGGAGGGGAGGGAGGGAGAGAAGGAAAAAATGTACAAATTCAAAATTTTTAAAAATAAATGTTAAAAATTGTTTTTACATGTAATTGGGGAAAATATTAAATAAATATTTTTTGAAAGTGTATATAACAGAAATTCAAAGTTTAATGTACAATCTTACTTTTGTTCCTTTGTGTAAATTGAAACATTTAAATTTAATAATGCTTAAGTTTATAATGAAAAAGAAAAAAAGCAAATGGCATTTTACTGCTAGATATTTTTTCCCAAATAGGTCAAACTCGGAAAGGTCCTATACGCACTAAAATATTCATAGTAGCATTTTTGTACTAGCAAAAAATACAAAACAAAACAATGGAAACAAAGTAGGTTTCCAATGATTCATGAAAAGCTAATCAAACTGTTGTATGTGAATATCATAGATTACTATATGTGAATGTGATGAATTACTGTATGATAAAAAAAGGATAATTATGAAGAATTCAGAGAAGCACAAGAAGGTTTTTATGAGGTGATGCAGAGTGAAATAAGCAAAACTAGAAAGACAATATATAGAATGACTACAAGAATGTAAATGGAATTAATGACAACCAAAAATCCTGAATGCTATATATTTACAACTTAGGTATGCATATCTTTTCACTTGTCAGATATGGTTGATGGGTTAGTTTTGTGGGACTGTTTTTTTTTTAATTTTTATTTTTTAATCTTTCTATTCTTCATTTTAAAAAGTGAGAAGGGGAGAGGGGGAAAGAATATGTTCAGAAATAAATGTAAGAAATAAAATAACATTAAAATAAAATGTTGAGGGTTTTTTTTTTTCCCAGCTATATGCCACCTTCTTAGAAGACAGAGACAAAGAGGAAAGACAAAGAATCACAACCTTGGGAAAAAAGAACTCTGTGGTAACAAATATACTCGCCACTTTAATTGATCTGTGTTCCTAATGGTATTTGCACCCCTCCACTGGTGTGGATGAGAACCTATCCATGCTTTCTTATCTAGTGTGATTTGTGTCTACCTCCGCATGCATAGGCTCCCCAAAGGAACTACTACCAAGCACACTAGAGACTTTCCTTGTGTCAAGCCTAAAAATATGTCAGCAAGGAGAACAGAAAAACAAAGTATGATGTTAAATAGAGGAAGGAGTAACAAGTGAAGAGGGAAATGATAATCTGAAACTATCAAATTTACAAGAAATTTTTACACAATTTTCTTTTGACTTTGGAGGTGGGAGATGAATTACACACATGTACAATCTGTAGAAACCTTTTAGAATTTAAAAATGATAATGAAGTGAAATAATGGATATGAAACTACTTTTAAAAGTATAAAACACTTCAAATGAGAGAGGTTATGATGTGCTGGAAAAGAGGTTTTTCTCCTGAAACATAACTTTCATTGGAATTATTGCTATTTTGTGTGTGTGTGTGTGTGTGTGAGAGAGAGAGAGAGAGAGAGAGAGAGAGAGAGAGAGAGAGAGAGAACTGGGGAAATCTTGAGAGCTTGTTCCTCAGCAATTGAACTGAATTCAAGAAACAAATTGTAGTAATTTCCTACTTTGGCAGGGCTGGGTACACAACAAAATGAACCATAAGGAGTGGAAATTTTCTAAATATATGTGCCAAGAAAGGTTTGCAAGATTTTTCAAAAGTATTTTGGGAAAAAATCATAGTGAGCATGAATAGGATAAGTAATATTAATTAAATATTTATAATATGTCTGCAGACATTATGCTGGCAATTTTTTTAACTTACAAAAATCAATGTTTTTTTTCCTCCTAGTAAAATATTTGCTTTCATTTCACTTCATTCTTTTGTGCCCTTTTTGATCCTCTTACCTGTTATTCTCAAGTTCCCTACAACTTGGCATCTTTCATTGTTCTTAAAGTAGTTCCCCACCATCCCCACCACCCTTGGTGATCTTTACTTCCAACATTGCTTGTTTTTAAGCCAATTCAATAACTATAGAGTGCCCAATATGAGCAAAGACCACTGCTATATGCCGGGGATTCAGAGATAAAAACAAACAAGTAAGTCCATCCCCTCAAGGAACTTACAATCTAATGGAAGGAAGGAAGGAAGGAAGGAAGGAAGGAAGGAAGGAAGGAAGGAAGGAAGGAAGGAAGGAAGGAAGGAAGGAAGGAAGGAAGGAAAGTAGGAAGGAAGAAGAGAGGGAGGAAGGGAGAGAATGAGAAAGGGAGAGAAAAAAGGAGGGAAGAAGGAAGGAAGGAAAAAGGAAATAAGCTAAATGCTTTACAAATATTATCTCATTTGAGATAAAGGTTAGAGGTAGGACTGAGAGTAAGCAGGGAAGACGTGCAGGAATAGAAGATATGTTGTGATTGGGGCAATTAAGAGATCTAGATAAGTGCTATAAGAAATTTGAGGAGGGAGATAATACTTTCAGTTGAGAGGATTTTGAAAAGCTTCATGGAGGAGGTTTTACCTGAGATAGGCTTTGAAGGAAAATAGGGCACAGATATAGAGGGAATTTATTCCAAGCATGAGGGGTGACCCATGCAATGTATGGAGGTGGAAGAAAGTCAGTTTGTTTGGACCTTAGAATGAAAGAGCTAGAAAATTAGGTTAGAGCCAGATTCAGTGTGTGGCACATAAAAAGAGTTTATAAAATGCTTATTGAAGGAAGGAATTTATGTCTTATCCCATAGGCAATTGAAAGGCCACTGGAGTTTTTGAGGAGGGACATGATATATTGGGCCTATGCATGAGTGAGATTTTTTTTTGGACAGTTGAATGAAGGATGGATTGGACATTGGGAAATACATTAGGAGATTTTTGTTGTTGTTTTAAGAGAGTTTTTAAATAGTTCAAATAAGAGGTGGTAAATGACCTGAAATAGAGTGCTGCTGTGGTGGTTACAGAGGAAGAAGTGATTCAATGATGCTGTGGAAATAGTATTTAATTCAATACACAGTCACTTCAGTGCCTACTTTATCTAAGCCCTAGGTATACAGAGATAAAAACAAAATAGTCTTTGCTCTCAAGTAGCTTACATTCTCAGGGATGGATTGGGAGGAGAGAAAAGGAAGGAGGATAGAATGTATACATAGATAAGTATCAGGTAGAGAACTATAGAACTAGAGGAGAAAGTTAAAGTACTTTAGGAATATTTAAAGAAAGAGAAAACAGAATCAGCTGGGAATATCAAGGAAGGTTTCATAGAGGAAGAAGCAATGAATGAAGTTGAACTTTAAAGGAAAATAAGTATTCTAAAGAAAGAGATGAAAGAGGAGGACATTCTGAGAATGGAAGACAGACTATTCAAATATATAAGGTGGGAAATGTTATATAAACTTCAGAGAATAGAAAGTAGTCCTTTTTGAGTGAAGCATTGAATACCTGAAAGGGAATAATATAAAATAATTCTGGAAATATAAGATGGAATCAAATTATGTAGGGATATAAATTCTATTTGTTTTCCTTAAGCCATTGAAGACTGACAACTAATTAGATTTTGGGGATGATGCAGAAGGAAAATTCAAAGATAGCTTCAAGGTTTAGTAGTCAGATAACTAAAATAATGGTGGCGCTATCAACAGAAAGAACAGTTGGAAAGAGGATCAGGTTTGGGGAAGATCATAAATTCAGTTTTGAATACATTGCCTTTGAGATATCAGTGGAGCTATTCAAGAAGCAATTGAATAGATTGGGCTGGAAGCCTGTTCACTCCAAAACTGTGTGGAAGATGCATCTGCTCTGCCCTGTATTCCAATATCTGTAGCCTTTCCTTACCAATAAGTTTCCAGGATGTATGTTTGAGAACCTAAACCTTCTACCACAAATGTAAGATTATATAATTATACAACCACCAAATTATGGAGAAAAGCAACAAAGACTTTTAGGCTTCCCATCATCTAGTCAATTTCTGCTTTGCCATGACAGTAAAGTGGAATGAAAAGCTAAAGCATTAGATTAGAAAAATGAAGCCCAGGTCCAGATAGCCTGACAGTGCTGAATACAGAGATCACAGGAACAGATACAGGGAATACAAGATTCCTGGTCATAGCTGAAACTTTCAAAGATGTTACACAACTAGTACTATGCCATCTCTTCCAATAAATCCAGAATTATTATCTCTATCATTTTATTATAGGATTCTTCCCACTATTTGAATGCTCCCTCACGTGGGATATTCCATCTTTAAATACAAGGCTTACCTTGCAGAAATCAAATCAAATCCCTTAGTAATGTCGCATGGACTAGACTGTTTGTTTTCTTTGGGAATAAAGACAGCACTTTTATAATAAATCATCTTTCTTTTTTTAATTGAAAATAAAAAGCAAAGCAACAGTGTCACAGCTCTCCATAACCATTAAGCACTCAGATACTGGGTTTCTTATTTCTAGGATCCCATGCAGAACTAGAACCTCTTACTGCTAGGACTCTGTCTAGGAATAAGGCCTCAGATGCCAGGCCTAACAAGGAGCCAAATATAGCTTCTGACTGTTCATCATCCTCCACCATCTTGGAATAAGGCAAAGGAAATGATGCTGAATATGACTTCCATCAGGATTCCGGGGACCTAATTATCATATATTTACTGCCCCAAGTGGCCATCTCTACTTATTATCTTAGTGTTTGAAAGAGGGGGAAAATGATACCATTGCCATCCTCAGTCACCAGAAGAGGAAGGGATTGATCTAGTCCAATGATACTTCCCCTCCCTATGGCTAGCAAAGTCCCATTTCTCCTAACTGCTATGATTCAGAATCACCGGCTGCCTAGGCAAAAAATCCCTTCCTCTGCTCTCCGTTTAAGCTCTTCTCCTCCCAAGTTCCTTTCCTGCTTGTTTTCCCTTTCCACTTTACCTCAGGAACAGTTTGTTCTATCATTAATAATCTATACCTCTTCCTCTGACTTTACTTCCATCTTCTAGTACTTATTGAAACTTGGCTTCTCCCAGATGCATCCCTAGCTGCCATCTCCAGTACTGAGTGCATCTGCTTTCTCTCTCCCTGACACAGTGGACCAGGAAAAAGAGTAAACATACTTCTTGCATCTCATGGCCATTTCCAGACCTTTCCTGTACTCAGCTGTTTCTTCCCCTTTAAGTTTATTCCATTCATTTAGATCACCCCCATCCAGATCCTTATTGTAATCGCCTTATTGTAATTATGTGCCCCAAGTCACTCAAGAAGTTCACAGTCTTTCCTCCCCAACTCCTGCCTCATATTCGGGAATTTCAATATACATAACATTCCCTCAAACATCTATGGTATCTCAGTTCATCAGCTTCCTCACCATCCATGATTTGCAATTTCACATCACTTCAGTCAGGGATGGCCATATCCTTGATCTCACCACCATTACCATTACTGTTTGACCTCTGTGATCCAGAACTGATATTCTTCTATCGAATTAAAATCTCTATCTTCTTCCTAACTTCCCTGTTTTGTTTTGTTTTGTTTTTTGTCAAGGGCATCATTATCTTTCCAGTCATCTATCTTTCCAAACTTAGAGTCATCCTTTACTTTTCTTTTTCCCTTAACTCCCAATTAGTTACTAGGTCTTTTCAAACTACTTCCATAGCATAAATCACATCTGTCCCTTTCTCTCCAGCTCATACAGCCACAACCCTAATTCAGACCATAACCAACTCTCTTCAGGGCCATTGAAAAAGCCTCATAATTGGTCTTCCTATCTCTAGTCTCTCTCTTTCTTCACTATATCATCCTCACAACTGCTAAATTACAGAATGACAGACTTTTAGAGTTGAAAGGGACCTCAGTGGCCACCTAATCCAAAGCATACCCAAACACAACAGTATAAACACAGCCAACACGTGGCCATCCAGGCTCCACTTAAATAACTACAAGAAGGAACGTATTACCTCTTCCACTCCTAAACCACTCTCATTGGAAAGAAGTTTGTCCTTACGTTAA